GATACATCAACCCGTATCCCGTTATCTAGTGTCACATTTAGTGCTAAATGCGCCCGTATATACGTGCCCATTGTATATAGCACATAGCTGCTCTCCGAGTCCGACAGTCGTCGGTTCAATGTCAATACAAAATTAGAGTCGACCGGCGGGTATTGCGCCTCGACGACGGGGCGACGAAGATCCGAGTCATTCGTCTTACCGTCCGAGAATTAGTTCTCGGCACTCGCGTCGAGAGAAACGCACGTACGATATCTCCGACCGTATTTTTCGATGGAGATTCTTCGGGGCGCGCGAGCTCGCCGGCGAGATCGATGAACTTCCTTCCTCATACGCCTTCGCCCGCCCTCTTACGAACTAATTCTCACCCCGCAGTCTCTATATTTTATCGTCCGCGTCGTAAAAGCGTCGTGCGCGCGAGACGAGCCGGCGATTCTCGAATTAGCGGGGCGTCCATGCTTGAAAAGGAAATAGCACTTAAAACTCGTGAAACGCGCGATTCTCCAATATCCGCCGTGCGACTCGATATGCCCGTCGCGCCGGGCCGCGTCCACGTCATCCGATTTACCGGTGTTAAGCACTCTATGTGGGTCAAATCAGAGCGGACCGCAAAGTCCGAAGCCTACACGTCCTCTCTCTCTCTCTCTCTCTCCCTCTCTCTCTCTTACTCTCTCTCTCCCGCCTTTGATATTATCGATTCAGACCGCGGTGTGCTCCTGGCTGCTATGCCGTTGCCGCTGCCGCGTTGCTGCACGACAGCCGTTTACGTACATGCTTCCCGCGATATGACAAACAGCATGACGCGAGCGACGCCTGCAACGTCGCCGATATAATGCACACGTGTCGTTGATACGGCACGAAACATCAAGACGTGTTTTCGAACGTCACTATAACGATCGACGTAGGAACGCGGCGAAGCAAGCAAGGAAGGAAGGAAGGAAGGAAGGAAGGAAGGAAGGCAGCCAGCCAGCCAGCCAGCCAACCAGCCAGCCAGCCAGCCAGCCAGCCAGGAAGGAAGGGTGCGAATATATGTCGGCGAAACCGCGCGGAGGAAGCGCGCGAGCGTCTTTCGTCCCCTTGATACCGTCTTGTCCCGGAGAATAATGCATATCGCAAATCTGACGTGCGTTATTTGGATCACGGCGCGACGAAGCAGATCTTGTCGCTGGCTCGTTATTAACTCGCGCGGCGAGGTGTCTGATTGGCGATAAAGGGGGGTAAGGAACGATTATTTTTATAAGTCACGATGGATGGGGGGATGCACACAGTGTACATTGGAAAGTATGTAAAGAGAGAGAGAAGGGAACGATATGCACTTTCACGAACGCATTGCGTAACAAAAGCATTGCGAAAAATATGCACCGTCTGCGAGTCCCATTGGAGCGCGAGGGCTTATGTTGGATACCAGACGCGTGATGACACGATGCACTCTTGCACATCGCGAGTATCCTAGATACGAGGGCGAGCCGAAGAGTGGAGGAGCGAGCGGGCAAGGTCGAGGGGGTGGAGAAAGAGGGAAATATCCTAAGCATCGACTTGGATGGCACCGAAAGCCATTACCCGCCGTCGAACAACGAACACGCGCAACAAAACTGTTCGCCTGTCGGCACGATAAAATCATCCGCCGTTAAAGCGCGCAGCTAGTCCGCGGATATCTTCGATGTGTCGAACGGCAAACAGGAAGAAGAAGAAAGAGGGAGAAATAGAGAGAGGAAGAAAATAAAAAAAAAAAAAGGAAAAGAAACGGGGAGGAAACGCGGTAGTCGCATGGGAACGCGACGTGCTGAACCGACACTTTGGAGATCCGTCCTCGACGTGACGCGATGCGACGTAACACGGCGGAGATACGTTTTCCGAATCCCGATTTGTAGATTTTCGATTTTTAAATCCGTTCCCGGAGCAACCGCGCGATCGCGAGATCCGATCGCGATCCGTTCGCGCCGTAAAAGAGGACCGTGATTTAACGGACCATCGTGCGACATTAATCCGATCAGCCGGTCGTAAGACGTAATACTCTAATTTTGCCCGAATTTACGAGGATTTTATGAGAACACATACGGTTCCGCCGGTCACCGGACCGATTTATCGGCGAACATCAGCGTGATCCGCTCCTCTTCCTCTTTCTGTCTCTCTATGTACTTCTCTATGAATTATCGCCGTGACTCTTCCCTCTCAGCTTGGAAAATCTCGATTGATAATGCTTACTCGTCTACATGGCTTCGCGTTTTCCTTCAGCGAACGAACCGTCCGTCCATTTAGGTCGGACTTGATGGAAAAGAAATTTTATTTTATTTTAATATTTTCTGCCTCTCCGCACACATATTTACGTGCATATCACGTGTGTATATGCGAAGAACATTTAGAATATTTCATATCGTATTGCTGAATATACAATTATCATAAAGTCACCGACACCGTCGCCGAGACAATTGGTGCGATACATCGTGAGCTCATAAATGTCATACGCACGTTCGCGCACAGTTTCCTGCGACTTGGCACGATTATTGCGCGTCTGAACGATTTTTCTGTTCGCGGAGAATAAGTAACAATGATGACAACGACCGGCAACGCGCAACTTCTCCCGGTTACGCCGGTGAGTGTATTGTACGAGGCGCGCTTTTATCGAGCGAGCGATGTAATTGTAAAAAATGTTATTTCTGCCGCGCCGCGTCGCGTCGCGCTGCGGAATGACGCAATCGAACGCTCTTTGCACTTTAGTCCGACGCAAATTTTATTCTTGGTAAAAGGTGCCCTGATGAAACGACCCGTCGCGACGCGACTGAACCCTTGATATCTCCGACACCGGATATCTCGGCGAATGGACCGCGGATATACGGAAAGAGAAAAGGGCCGATACGCCGTCGCCATTGTCGTCGTCGAAAATCGACGTAGCAAAACGACGGAGCGGGTGCATGAACTCGCGACGATGTCTACTAGGATATTTGTGAATATTTCAAAATTTCCCATCGCCGTGCTGCATTCACTAAGAGAAAGAGACAGGCAGGTAGGGAGAGGGAGAGAGAGAGAGAGAGATGTTGCCATAAATAGCGATAATTTAATTTCGATCGAAAACTTCGCCACATTTCGAAACGAGCGCATCCTGCGCACGCGAGTAAAGTTGCATCACCTTCGAATTTTATCCTCGCAAGCGCTGAATCTTTACGATCTTATTGCGGCATATCTCTATGCGCAAAAGCATCAAAGCTTTCGCGCAGTCTCGCACGTCGCAAGATGTTTTATCCGAGTTACAACGGCAGGCGTCCTCCGTCCTTTATTTTATGAAGCGGAATGGAAAACGTTCGACAACGGCAACGCGCGTATAGCCGATTGCGCCGTGGTTTTATATATCTTCGTGCGAAATTATTTCGTAGGTGGAACAGATAACGCGTTATAACCGCGGATCGCCATGTGCGAATCTGCGATCTTTACAGATTTTTTTTTATTAATATCATAATCATTGCATATTAATATATAAATATAAACACCACGTGGACTCACGCGCGGTCGATGGATTTATTTTCGTTAGTGTAACACAATACCTGCCAAATAATTTAATGCCAATTAACGAAGGTGTTTATCCTAATATTAAACATGATTATACATGCGGTTGTACGAGTGCGAGCAGTAGCAATAATAGCTTGATACTTATCGCATTACGCAGGCGTTCACGCATCACCGAATAATATAATCACAGGGAAACTCGCCGGGAAAATGAAACAAACACGATGCGTAATTGCATACAAAGTGAAAGATTATTCTGATAGAACGAATTCATTTATATGCCGCGCGGGCAAATTGCGTTTTTATCAATATGCGGACATATCGCGGCGAAACGGGCTTCTCGAATTACATTTTTATTACATACGTGTGCAAAATTGGTATCCCGATCCCGGTTATCTCCGGAGAAAAAAGAATAACAGAGAGATCGAGAAGGAATCCATTCTTCTCCCTCATTCTGCCCCGCCACAAAACGATTTGCGTGCTGGGGATGTGTAACGTGCAAATTAGACGCCTCGATCAGTGATTGAGCATAAGTCAATGAGAATTATTTTTGGTTGAAATAATCGGCGCAAATCAATAATCCAAATTAATCAGTCGTCATATCCAAAGTCACTAATAATTAAATCGATTCATGAAATTAATTATTAATCCACGTATAATCACATCAAGACCTGATTAATAATTAATTTCACCAATCGATGGATATTTGTGACTATATATTTGGGGATTGATTAATTTTATTTATTGGGATTTGCCGCACGATTACTTTAATCAAAGAAAATCGTTATCGATTAACCTATAGGATATGTTATATATTCAGAAAAGTTTCGAAAAAATATCGAATCGAATATTATCGAATTTTGAATATCGAATTTCTCCTTGAATTTAACTATTAAAATTTTTTAATAGTTAAATAATCGTGACAGATATAAATTAGATATATTTTATATTCTTTTTTCTTTCAAAAATTTTCAACGAAAATAGTAAAAGTAAAAAGAAATTCAGAAATCTCTGGGGAAAATCGCACGGGGAAAAGGTTTCACTGCCGCAGCTAATCATGGTTTGTTGAAAATTATTCGTTGCCGTAACGAAAAATTTGCTGCTGCAACTAAAACATTTACTATGTTGCTACTACATCGGTTTTATGGGTGGTCAATATACGTTTACTGGCTGGTATTCACATGTTACAACGAGATGTAGCTACCGTACACAGATTCTTGCTGCCGTAGATAACTTTTCTCCGTGCGTGCAGTCATTTTAAATCACCACTGAAGGGCTTAACGCCCAACATCGGCCTCGCTGAATCCATTACAGCCGACTTCGATCGGCGTGATCTTCCGATGCACTTTTAGCGCGGCGAGTTTCACGAGCATACGTCTCTTCCCCGCATCGCCAAGTGTCAACGGGAGACGGCGCGATATTCTAGCTCGATAATACGATATTTCGCGAAAGTGCCTTTTGCGGTTAAACCAACTCTGACCGTTACGCGTCTCTGTGTTTAGTACCCATATCACACATCGTGGCACTGGTCGGAGATCCCACCTATCTTCCCTGCGACATATCAACCACTCACGAGGGGGACTCGGTGCATCTTGTGCTGTGGTATCGCGAGGATCTTGGTACATCAGTTTACAGGTAAAGTGCAATCAATCCATATACAGGCGAACGTACATACGTGCAAGCGAGCGAGCGAGCGAGCCGGGCATACACGCAAATGCACGAACGCACACAGTCACGTACACAACACACACTGGGCCGCAAACTATCGCCGGTCGTTCCTCCTCCGTCGGTCCAGGGCAAACAGCCCGCCGGCACAATGCGAGATTGGTAGTCGCTTTTATCCGAAAATTGTCTTCGAACTCGATTTTCGCCGCCGCGCTCAGCGTCGCGCAAGGAATATATATCTTGTTTGCGCGTTCACGAGAGAGACAGACGGGAAAAAAGAGAGGAGATGTCGCTGTGAATATTGCATAAGCATCGATTTGTAGCGATTGTTCGAAAAAAAGAGGTGAAAAAGCAAGGGCAAAAAAGGGAATCAAACCGGCGCGGAATCGCGCGCGATCGTTGTCTTACTGACAAATTTGCCAAACGCCCGCGTGCGTGTCGCCGGATAACGGAGACAGATTTTTATCGTTATTGCGTTTGTCGTTGCCGATCAACCGTGCGCGAAAAATCGCCCGCATAATTTCCGCATAGTGAACGCGCGTCACCTCGAAGGGACGAAATATCACCTCGCGCTTTTTAACTGCGGTTCCCGTACGATTCCCACGGCCTGGTATTATGTAGATTAAATTTCGCCGCTGTGTGTTGCGCGCAACCCATCGCGTCCGCGATGTACATACTAATGACGGCTGGTATCGTGACATGTACATATGTTTACGGTCGAAAAACATTAAAAAAAAAAAACAAAACAAACGGAGACCAGTGACATCACCGTTATTCACGATTGCGGCAATGGCGGCGTCGTTATTCCGCGAGCTGTGCAAACAAATTTAAATGTTTCATATGATTTCGCCACTCCCGATTTTAATTACCCGTCACGTGCCGTCTATCGGGCCGCTTATGCAACAACGCCGCATATATCACCGGTGATACACGGCTATACCAGCTCGTCAGCGAGAATGCGTGTTCGTAGATAACGAAATTCGCGATAGTTTCATCGGCCGGCGTGGCGTCTTAACCAGGTTAGTGCCGTGGAAATGAAATTGCGTTCACCTAGTTTTCCTATCGCGACGCGATTTTTCGCCGGGTTTAATTTTCCCTCACGTTCGCTATAAACTACGTGAACTATGCGATGGACAAACAGACTGTTCGTTATCGCATGCTGACGTAGCTAAACGTCCGAAAGCAGATTTATTATCGCGTCGCGTCGAGAATACGCGATCTTAGACACCGACGAGCTAGAAACAGAGGAAGAGAGGAGAGAGAGAGAGAGACAGGATGTTATCCGCTCATTAGAATATAATAATCCGTCCGTCCGATTTAGCCAGTTTTAATTTGTGAAACGTTATAAATGTCGACGAGATAACGCGACGAATTTAATAACGAAAAAACGGAAACGTCTCGCGACTTCTCCGTTAATTACACATTACGTAGCCAAAGTGGCAAGTTTTAATTTTCGGGAAGAAAGCGGAAACGTGTTTTTTAGACTAATTGACAACGACTAAAAACTCGTAGCTAGAAATGAGTGCGGCAGGACGAAAGTTGTCGACCTATCGGATCGATCTATCGAATGGTAACGCATCGCGCCACCGACAGAGGATATAATGGCGCGACAATCGCGCGACCATCTTGATATCGACTCTTCTGTGTCGGGCAACCGCCATTAACGCATCGATCGGCATCACTCCGCACGTCGTGCGCGTCTTTTGTGTGTCGACAAAGTGAGTCTCGCGCGAGAATAAGCATTGAAAACAGTGATGCGCGACCGTCGGAGTGTATCGCGAGAACAATATTGGGAAGTTATCGTTTCTCTCGTATATCTGTCGCGACGCGTCGCGTCTCTCGCACTCGTAAGTACCATCGATTCGCCCAAGCAGCGATAGAAATTAGAAATACGACGGTGATATCAGAGAAGTGAATAAGTAACGCGACGCCACGCTCTCTTTTCGCTCTCGCTCTCCTTATAAACAGGTCGCTATTTACATCGCAGATTAGCAACGGCTGCAGCACGTTAAGTACTTTATATTTTAACGCCGCGCTGCTTAACATGCAACTCCCGTCCCGCCTACACCATTATCCACTTTCCCTTCATAGAAAAGCAGAAGTGCCGCGTGATACCATGGAATATCCTCGGCCCATTTTTATCGCGTCGACTCGGCTTTAAAACCTTTTCAAATGTTACGATATACGCGGAGAAGCCGATCATACCGCCGCATAGTAACGCCGCGCTGACGGATCTTTAAAAAAACGAGAAAAGGTAGCGGGGCGACATGCGCTCGCTCAAATGTGTCACCGAAAGATCCGGGGTTTATATATTCACCAGCACTAAGTAAAAAGGATTTTCATTTCCCGACAATACAGTCGCGCGTGCGACCCTGGGGAATACAAAACGCGGCATCGGTTCCACGTCCGGAATGCCTAATAAATCGATTATTATACAGCACCCCCTATAATAGCAAAATTTCGCGTTATTTGCTCGCAATTTATTCCGCGCGGTTTCGCGGCGGTATACGCGCGCAAAAAAACTCATCAGATACCGTCAGGTTCCCAGAGCTTCCATAATTTGGTCTGGTGGACAATAATGAAATCCCACCGCGGGACGAAAAGTTCGGTTATCGAGGATAATTCCGTTTCTGAGATCGAACACATCTTTCGGGAAGAATATTTCGTTCTCGTTGTAAATTTGACGCAAAAAGTTGCACAGTCTGCCAGGGAGTCCGCCGCGATTAAAAACGACACGCGTATCGATGTCACATCATGCAAATCATTAGGTCCTAATTAACGGCGAGAGAGAACACATTCACTCGCCGTGAAACAAAATCAATTATGGCAGTATAATTATTACAATTTGATAGCGTCCGCGGCTTGAAATAATGATTGCCCGTGGTAACGATCGGTGGAGGAACTTTAATTATGTGCCAATTACATCGGTCGGCAATTCAATCAGGCGTGATAGCGCGCGCTCGCAGGTGAGAGAAAGAGAGAGACCAACGACAGACGATTTAAACTGTATATATATAGCGGCGAAATCCCTCGTGGATTTTAATTTATTCCTTCGCGACGGCTGACGGATTCATCCGTGACCGTCACGGCGTACGAACGTGGCACGGAACGACGCTGATGAGCATTAATCGAAATGACTGCGATAATGACGCTGTTAAAATAGCCGTTAAAATAGCCGTCGGGCAAATTACTGGGCGTCACGACGCGTGAATTTTTAAAACCATATCAGATCGCTCGATCGACCATTGACGAATTCAGCATGTACCGCTCGCGTTGCTATCGATGATTCGCCGTTGGAGTCGACGACCACCGGAATGTTGCGTCCACGAAATGAACTCGTGTTTTAATACTGGAATAGTATTAGGCCAATCGCTAAGCCAATTCTGAGCAAGACTAGAAGTCAGAATTTCGATATCCCCTCCGTCAATTGCGATGAACGACGTGCGCGGAACGATATCATTTTCCGTTAACCCGTCTCCGCTATCAAAGAATAATCTCGTTATCTGGGCGATATTATTTGTAGACTATAACTTGCAAAAATTAATTTTAAAACTCGCCTCGCGCGCATGTAAGTCGAATTATTTATTCGAGATGAGAAAGTAGAGCGTCTTTTTCTGCGTCTCTCTCCGTAATAAGAGTTTGTTAAAAATTCACAATTTCTTCTCTCTTTTATTAATGATATGGCTAAATCAAGATCGACGTCGTATTGTCTGCCAGCCAGAATCGCAATATCGAAATAATTCGGGACATTCGCGATTGTTATGCGAGCACGAACGACTCCCGACTGAATCGAATTATCAGATCGCGCGCATGAGTCGTCACCGTTATTATCATTCGGCGGAAGCATTCTGTTTCCAGCGCGGCCCAAGGATCTCGTCGTTAAAAGTGTGACGTGACAAAAGTAGGACATTCGTGTAGATACATATACACGCGATCCTGTTTCCTCTCCCCCCTTTTGTCTGTGCAGCAACCGTGCTTCGTCGTTCGCCGGGCGCGCCGGCGTCCTTATAAAACTTTTTACATCGCTTTAAATACCTCCCTTATATCGATTTAAATGGCTCTCACCGAGGCTCGTCGGTGAGAAAAAAGTCTCGCAACAAAAACATGAAAAGTTTGTTATATGCCAGGATCGGAGAGTGAGAGAGAGAGAAGTTTTCAGGTCGGCGCAAAACCGACGACTATGACAGTCGCCGGCGCGGCTCGCGGCGAAAATTTCTGTTTTACAGGAATTGTAAAATAATCGGTTTTGCGTAGCCGGTGTCGCTCGTGCTGCTGCGTAAATACTCGTAACGTTTCGGCTTTATAACAAGAATTTCCGTATTTTATTTACCATAAAATTATCCCCGCGATAATAAACCGCGCTGTACTTGCGAGGTGGAGATATTTTAATTTGCGTACTTATTATTGCGCGTGACACGGTGTGTATCGTAAAGTGCAGGCGCGTATTTACTTTAATTTATAGCATTCCGAATCCGTCTGTCTGGAAATTTGCATAATCGGACTACATTCACAAAATATTCCCGTTTTGTTTGCATAATGCACACCCGTCTTGTACGTCGCATGACCCACATTGTTTTCTAACAGAATCGCAAAACGCGCTAGGGGTAAAAGCAGTTTCCTCCCTTCGACAATAATTTACTTTTATTAGCACTTGAATATATTCCGGCGAGATTTGGTCCTTTGGGCAAAGCGCAAATTATCATGTCAAATTACCATTATCGGTTATTAAAACAATTTATGCGTGTGTTTCCGATTCCAATTTGTTAAAGTCATGATGAAATTTGTGTAATTTATTGGCATTAATGACGCGTATTTAAACTCTTTTTCGCGCTGTTCGCGAAAACGCTGAGATAGAAAATTTTAATAATTCTTCATTTTCCTAATTTTATATTAAAATAATTTCAATACACGACGCGATGTCGTAAGTTCTGTTAGGAAACACGAAGCCTCGGGCGGAGACCGAAATCCATTAGGAGCGTGTCTACTGTTGTCCACGGTTCAATTACGCCGCGTCGTTCAGAAGAGGTTGATGCGAAACGATAGTTCGGATAACCCGCGCTCCGTTCGATTATTAATTACACTCTCGGCCTCTCTGACCCTCCTCTCTATGGCTCTGTCCCTCCTGTTGCAGTGTCGACGCCAGGGACCGGGACTTCGGTATTGCCGAGAGATGGTCGGACGACTCCGTGTTCTCGAATCGGGCCTACTTCATGCCGGACAAGCAACCGGCGGAGTTGGGGGTCGATCACATCAGGGAGGAGGACGCGGGTATCTACAGGTGCCGCGTCGACTTCCAAATCGGCCAGACGAGAAACTCCAAAGTCAATTTGACCGTGATCGGTGAGTTTGTCCCATAAGTGGATTTTACAGGATCATTTCAATCCCTCGCCAAAGGTACATCCGCGGGTTCAACGTTGCACCAAACGACGCGCTCGTTCGACGAACGCACGCGCGAAACCGATACAATTATAGAGAGACGGATTTGGAGCATTCTCGAGGCGGGCACGTGCCACCGACTTTGCTCCGCCGCGAGCAAAGTAGCCGTGAGAATCCCACGAGATTGTTTCAACTTTGTGATTATTAGTATTAAATCAACACACGAAAGACGTTTGTCACTCTTTACGAAATCCTGCCTCTTCGCTGTTGTTGCGTGGAGGGCGATTTCGCTGAGACCGCAACGGAATTCTCTCGATTAGTGATTCAATTAGATTTGCCCAGTGAGTTCACATTGTGCGGAGCTCTACTAGGTTACGCGCTACCTCGTGCGATTACGGGGTTTTTAGTCGCGCGGTGTCTCGGATGCGCGGCACGTAGAGAAATCACGTTTATAGTGAATAGCAATGTAAATTTAAGATAGACACCGGGCACTTTTTGTATCTCTGTGCTCGGTCCGTTTTGCGCTCGAGACGGACCAAATTAGCTCTCGGCAATTTCCCTTCTTGAATTGAATTTGCGTGGTTGTCATTCGAGACGCGTGAAGAGGCTATGCTATCAAGTTTCTTCCTGACTTTTACCACCGTGAAGGGAGCATGATGAAAATGTTCGGTGTACAGCCGCGTTCCAAGTAACCGGAGCCAATCGTAAACTTTCTTGGAGCTTCCCTCCACCTAATTACGTCTTTCATTAATACTCAATTAGTCGCGCTCGAGCGGAACAGCGACTTGACGTGTATTGCGATTATGCTAAAAATGACACGAAAGTTTTACGAGCTTCGCGTAAATGCCGCCTCAAAAAGTTACGTGTCTCCGTCGTACGCTCTCTCTCTCTCTCTCTCTTTTCTGCGCACGAGAAACTTCGCTAAAACCTATCGGGAGGTATTGCGAGTGCTTAAAACGCGCGAGCGAGCGAGAGAGAGAGAGAGAGAAAGAGAGAGAGCGCTACGAGGATCAACTCGAGACTCGGTGATCGCCGAAAAGGACTTTTACTGGAATTAAAGCCCTTTGATGCGCGCACCCTCGGTAAGACGGGACAAGTGCCACGCGAATCAACAGATAGCAGTTCGTCGTCGCACAAACGATAATTATCTATCGCACGCGACTTCTCAACGATTCGTCGAAAATTGCGCTATTCGTGGAAGGACGAATTAATGCATCAATTCTTTTTTCGCGTTTTAGGAGCCTGTGATAATTTACTTCAAATATTAATTGTCGTCATCGATGATTATCGGCTCTGTTTACGCCGTGAAACGTCCTGATAAGGCTTGCAGAGAACAAAAGAACAAAATTTGTGTATCTAAAAGGTCATCTCGTGTCAAGTTAAATCGTCAACTCGGAAGAGATAATGCTAATTAGCGCGCCTGAAACTTATTTTTTAAATTTAACATTGCGCTTTTCCTCTCGGGCCATGCCCGTTCGTCATTTGACGGGCATTTTTACGGCGCTAACAAAAGAATCACAAAACGGCAATTAAGCGACCTAATAAATTCAAAATAAAGTAAACGGCGAAACGAGCACGCGACGCCGAATAAGAGAAGAAGAAGAAAGAGAGAGGTCAAAAACGAGAGAAAGAGAGAGAGGGGGGAGGACGGAGGACGGAGTTAAGGGGAGAAAAAAGAATCCAATTAACAATTCCGTTGAAAAGTTATGGAAACGCCGACGGGCGAGCGTGCGTCGCCTCGGGATTCGCCGCCGTTGGCCGGCATGCGCCCAGGAATTTTTCCCGCGGGGTAATTAGCTGCCCCCCGTCCCGCCGACGTACCCTCTCGACCCACCGACATTTCGCACGTCCCTGCACCGAGCAGCCGTGCTTACTCGTAGACACTCCCGGCCGTTGGTAAACCTTTTCCAGATGAACGCCAATTAACGTGCCTCGCACCTCTCGCCGCCTTTCGCCGGCGAAATTGCACATCGCTCTCTCGCCGGTTCCATTTTTCCGCGACGGGATGTACAGGGTGTACCAACACCGGCGAATAAATGTTCCTTTCGCCGTGAGTTCCGTCGTGAAGCGGATCCTCCGTCGGGATTTAACGGCGACCTCTTATTTCCTGCGCACATCGAGCGTTATCTTAACGCCGCGAATCGAATAGTTTGCGATCGAATAGTTTGCTCGTTAATAGTCTACGAATGCGTCAACGTCGAATGGCGCGCGATTCATCAGATGCTTTGGTTCGATCGCTGGTGATGTTCCCGCAGCTTGGATACGTGTATACCGGGACGATGGGACGGACACCCTGTACGTGCGCGATCGTGATCGTGACGCGCCACGACGACGACGACGGGAGCGACTATTCGCGACATGGACGAGAATGGGGACACCCGGCGTTAAAACACCGTGCCCGAGGAATTTAAATCGCACTCCTTTACGGGCGCGCCCGCGTTCCGTCGCGTATTTGCGCGTCGCAGCCGTCAAAGACAAGCGCGCAGGAGCGTGTGCACCGAGCAGACGAAGCGAGCAGGGTACGGGATACACCCGAATCAGATGCACTGTGTGTCGCTACAGTGTCGGGGAGAGGGTTAGTGGAGGAGGGTGGAAAGAGATCCCGTGTGACTCGGCCGTTGGTAGAACGCGAATTTACATTCATTTTCTCTCCCTTTTTTCATTTCCCTTTAAATCCTTTGTGCTCGAAGATACACGAGATGGAAAGCGGATAGCGGTCGGTCGATCGCTCGATTGGAACACGTTATCGAGTGACCGAATTAACCTTTGACTCTAATGTCATTGCGTCATGTCACGTCCAGCTAATGTCAAACGCAGAAGGTACAAAAATACCTCTTTGTCGGAGGCACGCGCGTAGCGTCGTATTTAAAAAAATGAGAAACCGTATTTTTTTTTTTTTTTTTACGAGACAACTCTTGGATGTCAAAACGGACTTCTCGGAAAGAGTTCACCGGTTCCGAGAACAAGTGTAATGAGATTTCGCCAAGTAAATTGACGTAGTTGGGCGAGTCGCGCGCGTTTTGTGTGTATCGTAGAAAGTGGATATTCCGTCCGACCGGGCGGGCACAATATTGTTTCTGAAGAAAGAGCGCGCATCGACGCCGCCGTCATCCGTAAATATCCTGCTCGTCATATTTTCCGTCGTGGATTACCGCCGTGGTCCCCGCGCGACGACAGCTGGCCGAGTTAGTGTATCGAGGAACTTTGAGCTTGACAGTGGTTTTCAGTGGAGGAAAAAAATAAAAGGAATAAGGGAGGGTGAAAAGTTTCGTACGGTCGGCAGGAACCTTTGCCCCGAAGTTAAAGCTTTGGTAAACGAGGGCATTTATCGTACCAAGACGGTGCTCCCTTTCGGCCCGAACAAGAAATACAAGGTATTCCAGTTCCGAAAGTGTAGAATGTAATTCGATAAATTTTCCGCGAGATGCTGCTGGTTTCAAAGCGGCATACCTCGCAATTTCTGTCGGCCAATATTGACATTTCAATGCGAGTAACGCGCACGCGCGCGCGCGCGCACGTGTTCGCGCCGCGGGTCGGCATAAATTGTATATATTTTGCAATTTTGCAAAGTAATGACAGCGCTATCTGAAATGCACGCGTTTGCAGATATTTTATCACATACATTTTTCCATAATTACTGAATTAATACACACGCGCATGTGTATGCACGTACACGTGTATATACGCGTAACCTATATGTATATGTGTACTTTGCGTATCAATTATTGACTGCGCGCGCGTGTAATAGCTATCGAACGCATAATTTGATTGCCGCGCGCGCAATGAGGTAAAAAGAGTTGACTTATTTCCACCACTCTCGTTTCGCCACTCGTTTATTCGCGGACGGAGAATGTCACCTACAAGGTAATACGTATTACAAACAATTTCTCGCGCGTGCGAAAATTCTACGTTGCAATAAAAAAAGAAAAATGGCCCGAATATAGTCGCAAACTGCTACTTAGGAGCCGCTCGGCGTACACCTATCAGTTCTCGTTTAAGCAGATATTATATCATGCTTTAGGGTTTCATAAAATACGGGCGAAGGGAAGATAAGGTGGTTCCCGAGTAACCAACGGGGAACCAGAAATCGGCGCAAAAACTCTAAAAGAAATGGCGGCTCTCTTCGCATTAAGACTTCCTCGAAGTCGAGCTACAGAAAACGAGCGCATTTATCTTCTCGAACCGTTGTTTCTTTAAAGTAAGAAAAGAACGGAAAAAGCCGGAGTGTAGTTTTTTGCTCGGGGAAGAAAGATAAGACGTAAACGTGTAATACGCTTCTCCGACGCTCCTCGCGACCTGTCCCACCGTCGCGAAACGCAACTTCGTAATCGTCATTATCGAAATTTCGCGTGCAGGCAAACAAACTGACCCACCCACCCGTCCGTCCGTCTGACTTCTTCGTAGAAAACGCGCCGTTCCGTTGCGTTTGTGACGTTACGGCATCAAAACATTCCCGCGTAGAGAATGCGTGACACCATTCGCGACGACGATGCTTCATCGCATCATCTGATATCGTTGAGTCACGGAAACTCCATTTCCGACGCGACAGTCGGTGCGCATTTAACAATAAACGAGGGGGTCACAGAGGGGCGAGGGAGGGAAGACGCTGTTTGCCGCGCGGCGTCAAGGAAAATATTTCGTTTCAGAGATGCGACGCGCGTAATGTAACCTTTCCGCCCGCCTCGTTACATTATGATTAATGCATGTCAAGTGGACTGTTTAAGAATTTACTTTGTGCCCGCGTTCTCATTAATGAGCAAGTTTATCTAACCGCGAGGTACACTTCGTCATAGTTAGCGTGCGAAATACTCGCGACAAGTAGATGGTCTGAAATTTTTTGTCGACGCGCTCTCGCTCAAATTATACGAGTCGAATGAGCCGTCGGCTCGTTCTGTACAAGTGTTTCGTGTGCAACGTGCAACGCGTGCACACGCACGCAATGCATCATCCTCCGAGTCGCTCTG